CAGGCTCGGCCAGTACCATACGAACCAGCAGGAGCTGCTGGGGTGCAGCCCGCAGCTGTCCCAGCCGCATTTGGATTGCAGGCCCGAGGAGCACGTCGAGAGCCTCGCAGCGAGGCCCGTGCAAGGCGATGTGGTCGCGCACCCGCCGTGGGCCCAGGGGCGGCAGCACGAGCAACCCGGCCGCGAGAAGATCGGCAGCTGGCGCAGCAAGACCACGCCAGGTCCCACGCGGCGCTCAAGCTGGCGACAGACGGTCTGGTGGTCAAGGAACGATGCTTTACGACACCGCTGGCCGGTCAGCCTGGCGACGCTCCGACAACCCCAGCGGCGGCAGCGGCCGCGGCATGCCCACGGCGGCGGCGCAGGCACGAGCGCGAGCCCCTCCTGTGCAGACGCCGGACGGCAGGCCGACCTGCCCCAGGACATCAGTGGGGCGAAACCACACCTCGCTCTGCTCCGCGCGCAGCCACCGAGGCCAGGCGCCGGGCCAGGGGGCCGCGCGCCCCGCGGCCGCCGCCGCCAGCGAACGCGGACCCAGCGGCCCCGCGCTGCCGCGGACGGGCGCCAGGACGCGGCCTCCAGGCTGCCTGCGCCGCGCGCGGCGCAGAGCTAGTCGCCTCCGCAGCGCCGGAGGGCCCGCGACCTCGCAAGGTCATCCTAACAGCCGCTGACCAAGCCGGGAGCGAGAGGCGTCGCCGCGCACCTCCGCGGGGGAAGTTTTTGAAATAGATGTGGCGAGGGAGGAAAGTGGCCGTCGACAGACGGATTGTTTTCCGTCGCCCACCCGTCCCACAAGCCAATGTGGCGGGCGAGGTGGGCAAATCGCCAAGGCGCGCGCCCCATTGCCCTCAACGCAGGGTACTTGGGCAGTCCCAGGGCTGGAGGACCGCGAAACGAAGGGCCAGGTACTCCCGGCACCACCACCCATAAAGAGGGCATCACCGCTTTCAGGGCCCATCGACGGCACAGTCATCTCCACCAGACTCATACTCATATTCACTCACACCCAGACCCACTCGCAGTCACGCCCCCTCGCATTCAGACTCCTTCATATTACAGACTCATTCGATGCTTAGGACCACGCTTAATCGCACCCGGATTCGCTCACTTTGAGATTCTCCCACTCATATGATTCACGATCAGGTTTACGCGAACTAAGGCTCACACGCAGGTGGTTACCGCGAAATAGCACGCGTGGTACTCAGGCACCCAAAATGCCAGCTGGCGCCGCGAGTAGCACGGCTGAGAGCGGGCGTAGCAACGCCATGGGCTCTTGCCCGAGTTGCCGCAGTCAGATCGGCAAGTTGAATCCCCCGTAGCCATTTTGGCTCAAGCCATTTTGGCTCAAGCGTTGCGTCTGGGTGTCGTGGGGCGCCCCTGGTCGTCCCGGCGGGGGCGGGCGCGGCGCGCCGGCCATGGGCCGGGGTCTCTCCACTCCTGGGTGTACGAGCGATGGGGGACGTTGTCTGCCAGCGCTCCCTTGGGGCGTCGGGAGGGAGCGCCGTCTAGTGCGGCACCCAGAAAGCGGGCCATGTGCTTGCTTGGCGGTGCAGTGCAGCATTTTGATGTCAGGAGCGGTGAGGGTTCCTATGCGCCTGGTCTCTTCCCCTTGCCCCTTCCTGCCCTCGCCCGTCCTTGCCTGCCCCTCCCCTTTCCCCTCCCCTGTCCCCCCTTTTCCCTTGGGCCTCCATGCATTGGGTAGAGCAGTGAGTGCTGGGTAGCAGGAGCAGTCTCGCTCGCCCTTGCGTTTGTGCTTGTCTGCTTTTGCAAAAGTGCGGGTGGTTCTGGGGCGGGGCTGGCCGTCGAGGCTCTTTTGAGTCATGGGGGCCAGCGTCGTCCATGACCGCCCTGTATCGCCTCTTGTGTTGTCTTCTCTGCTGTGTGCCTGGCCTTCTGCGGGGGGGGCGCTCTCTCGCTATTGACGTTCCCGATACTTCACTGGCGCTCTGGTAATAACATATGCCGTGGTCCTGCAAGGCCGTTGTGGCTACCGCAGTGCAGCCAAGCATGTCATGTGCAGCGTAATGGGGAAATGGGTCTGGCAGCGTCTGTGGAGGCATGGGGGAGGTGAGGGTGAGGCGCCCTGGAGTGTAATCAGCACATCTTGCTGCCACCTCTTCCTGATGGTGTGTCGGTGGTTGGGATCGGTCGTGGGAGCATGAAAGGCCGCTTCTCCGTCTCCCCCCTCCCCTCTTCGATGGGTTCTTGGGCCGGCCGCTGCTCGTCCCCGTTGGCCTTGGGGCTTCCGTGGGCGGGTGGGGTGGACCGTCGTCGTCGTCGTCGTCGTCGTCGTCGTCGGACGACGAGAGACTGCAAGCAATCCCCTGCAGACAGAGAGATCCAACAGTGGCTTGTGGCTGCAGGGCTTGGGGCTTTTAACCCCCCCGCGCCAACGCATGTGTCTGGCACCTGCATCGACCTTTTCATAGGCATGAGAGTTTCGCCCCTTCCTGTCAAGGTCCTGCCGGATTTTATTGCGCTCTCCGACCACCGACTCGTCATGGCAGAGGTGCCCTGCCAGTTCACGGCCCCGTGGGCGGCGGGCTACGGGAGGGTCGCCTGGACGTCCGGACCCAGGTGGGACGAGGGCCTGAGGGAAATTTCCGGCACCCTCAGTGCGCTGAGCGAGAGCGTGGAAGCAATTGCATGCGCCCCTTGGCTTCAGCCACCGTGGTTCGGAGGCAGGGCCAGCAGAGTGCAAAGGCGCGCCGTGGTTAACGTTGCGGCTTGGGCTCGCGATGCCGCCTACACCATGGTGGGGCACGCAGCGGGTGCCACCAAGGTGATAGGGGGCAAGCGTCGCCTCTCGCAGACCACTGCGCGTAGGTTGCTGAACCCAGCGTGTTTCACCTCGCATCAAGAGTTTAAGCTTGAAGTTGCGTGCGCAGCGTGGGGGGAGCGTAGGAGAGCCGTCCACCGCTATTTGCATTTGCGCGAGGCCAACCCCGGGGCCGCGGAGAGGTTCCTGTCGAGCTTCTTCCAGGTGCGCACCCGTTTTGAGGTGAGGCTGTCGGACCCGTCCACGGGGGCTGCGCTTACGCCCAGTGCGATGGTTGAGGCTGTCAGGCAGGATCTGTTTGCACGCGATCGCAATGACTTTGAGCAGGATCCGGGGGCCGAGGAGGCCATGGCACGGCAGGTTTCTTTAATCCGCAGCGCGGGTGCCCTCGAAGGCGCACCAGCCCGAGCTCCACCTTACACGGATGACGAGGTGCATGCTGTGTTGAGCGCTCTCAAGCCAGGCAAACGCACAATTCATGGGTGTTACGCCGCCTTGCGCGCAGAGTCACCAGCGGGGGTACGGCTGACCAAGGCCCTAGTGAACCTCGCTCGCGCCGCCGGCGTGACCGCGAAAATCTGGTCACTCAGGCAGATCACCCCATTGCGTAAGTGCGGCCCAACCACAGTGCGCGCACTCTCCGCCCTGCGGCCAATTTCCATTGCAACGGAGATGGCATCGGTACAAGACGCTCTCTGGATAGCCCGAAATAGCGGTGCGCTGGAGGCGTATTGTGGGCCTTGCCAGCAGGGGGGAGTCGGCGACGCCCTCACCCTAGTAATCGGCCTCGTCGTGCACGCCCAGCTGCGGCATGCGCAGGGCCTCCACACTTGGTGGGCTCTAGCAGATGGCAAGTGGGCTTTCGACGTGGCGTCCCGCCACGCCATGTTGGTGGGCGTGTACAACGCCGGAGTCCGCGGGCCTGATTGGCTCATTTTGGACGACGTGTTGGCGCAAGACCATCAGTGCCTGTCTTTGCATGGGCTGCTGAGCCCCGTTTTTATGCTTTCGCGCGGTACAGCTCAGGGCAGGCGGTTTTCTGTGCACGCTTTTAACACCCAGCTCCGTGGGCTTGCGGATGACATCGCAAAAGTGCTCCCGGAGGGGTGCAGCACGATTGTGCCTCCATTTGCTAGGGCAGCGCTCCTTGACGCGGAGGAAGTCACGCCGCCGGCGCAATGCGTTGAGCCGCCGCGGGGGGAGCTGCAGCTTGACGGGGTCGTGCAGGAAGTGTCGCTTTTGGCGGCGGCTGAGGAGTCGCCGTGGCCCCAGGCGAGGCGCTTCCTGCGCGGCGTCCTCAGCGCGCTGTCGTCGCAGGCTGATCGGGTTGCCGTGATAGAGCGTTTGGGGGCTTACCACGTGGAGTCACCGCAATTCGTGGATGACATCACAACGCCCTGCCCGTCAGAGGGGGCCGTTAGGGCCGTTCTGTCGGAGGAAGAGTGGTCGGCGTGCAGCCGATACGCACGGCGCGTGAGGGCCCGCTTCACTATGATAGGGGGAAGACGGCAGTCCTGCCCCTTCTGGACGCCCCCCCGCCCTTGCTAGCTGGAGCCCCTGTGGTGCGCGCGAAAGGGCTTCTAGGAGTTCTAGTGGACTCGGGCCTCACGTTTCTGCCGTTGCTGCACAGTACGCTCGCGAGGGGCAGGTCGCTGTTTGACGAACTTTTGCAGACGGCGGAGTGCGGGGGCTTCTCCATCCCAGTTGCCGCAGCTCAAGTCCCTCCCCGCATTGAGTCGGTAATCCTATACGCTTCCCCGTTGTTGGCCCTAGCCGAGGGGGCTGAAGCGGCCCTCAACCGCTTACAGGTAGAGTGGGGCCGCAAGCTGCTGGGCTGCAATGATGGCCCGCCCGTGCGTCACAGCGTGGTCGTGGCCCAATGCGGGTGGCCTTTGAGGCTGGGCACGAAGTTTCTTGAGCGTGCCTTGCTAGCGCGAGCCAGGCTCGCAGTCCTCCCGCTCGACCACCCGGCGTCCCGAGCCTGGCAGGCATCCCGGTGCCTGCACGCCCCCTCTTGGGTTACTGCGGTAGCTGCGCTCGCTGGCCGCCTTCCGTCGCCGCCAGTGCAACTGGACCGACACCCGGCATGCGCTGGGGAGCAGTTGGAGGCTGCGCGCGCCCATCCAGCGAGGCGCAGGGCCCTCCTGGAGTGGTACCGCTGGCAGGTCGTGCGCCCAGCGCTGTTGGAGTATGACCGGCAAGCATTCAGGAAGGCAGCGTCATGTGTTCTCCCGGCGTTGCGCCGTTCCTTCGCTGAGCTTTGCCCGGGCCCGTCCCTCCCTGACTGGAATCTTCTGGGCTGGGAGTCGTCTCCAAACTTTTGGAAGCATTACCGGTTGTGGGCCGTCATACGCATGACGGGCTGCTGGCCCCTTGCCGTGCTTGGCCAGGGTGGGCTGCCAGCCACGCTCTCGCGGTGCGGGGCATGCGGAGCGTCGAATGTAGCAGTCGACCATCCCCTGGTAGCGTGTCAGGCCACGGTTCAGCACCGTGCCCTCCTTGCGCGCGACGGCCCGCCCATGCAGGGCGCCGCCCCGGAGTTCGCCTTACAAGTCCTTTTTTCCGAGGGTCTCCCGTCGCGTGCGCGTGCTGCGCACGTCAGTTACGTGGGCGCTGCAGTTTTGCAGGCTGCTTGGCCAGCGCCGCCCCCTCCGCCTCCGCCTCCCCCTCCGCCTCCCCCCCCGCGCGCCCCCCCGAGCTAGAGTGGTTTCGTTCCCGCAACCAAGCCAGGGTGGGCTGAGGCACAACCTGCTATGCCGTATCCCTAGACAGGCGCTTGTTGGCCCTGCCCGGTTGTCCGTCCGCCGCGTGGGCTGCGAGGGGAGGGGGAACACGGGCGCGTGCCTCATGTGATCGAGCCCCCCCGCTCCGGCCGCCCCAGGAAGGTCCCGCGCTGTCCGTCCGGCGTGGGCGGGGAGGGCGGCAGGCAGAGAGGTTGTCGATGTGTGGGCAAGATGGGGTGTGAAAGACCACTACCTGACGGCGTACATATCCTCCCTCGGAGCGGCTGGTACCAGCAGCTGTGAGGGGCGGCACGCCCGGGGCCGGGCGGCGGGCGCCCCGCGGGCGCCCGGCGCGGGACCCGGAGTGTGCTGTATGAGCGCGAAACGAAACGATTTGTGTGTTCCTTCATACTGTTCTGAAAGATGTCCAAAAGAGGCAGACGTCACTGAAGTCGTGGCAGTCGTCGTCGTCACTGTCGCGCTCGTCGTCTGTGCGGACCCGCTCTCACACCCAGCAACTCACAAACAAAGCTCCCCTGCGAGACGTGGCAGGAGCAGGAATAACACATGCGTGCATTATCGGGCCGACCGATTATCATTCAGATGCCTCCGAGCTTCCTCCCCCTGGCACATCTCACACCCTCCTCCTCCTCCTCCTCCTCCTCCTCCTCATCATCATCATCATAATCTTCCTTCTCCTCCTCGCTTTCCTCAGACTCACCCACTCATATTCAGATTCACGCGCAGCCAGATTCCTTTGTATTCAGATTAGCTCGTAATCAGACTCACCCATACTGAGACACATTCGTATATCAGGTCGCTCACACACAGACCCATTCAGATTCACTCGCATTCGATATTCAAAGCGATGTCGCAGGCGTGGCATTTTGGCACCCCGAGGATGTGGCCAGTGGCGGGGGCATTCCATCATTCGCGCTACAAGTGTGGGGATGTGTCAGGCGGTGCCCTTGTTCGCATGCGCAACATCGTCTGCTGTAGGAACAGTTCGGAGGATGTCTCAGGCGAGGCGCTGATTTCAGCATTCCCACGGGGGGACCGCCAGGGTGGGAACATTCGAGGATTCGCGGCCAGATTGTGGGGACGTTTCGCGCGGTTTCACGACATGGGGTGCCCAACATCCCGCAGCGTCAGCGGATTTCTAAAACGAAACGCTGGTTCCGGCACTCCCCAACGGGACCCGCCAAGGTGGGGGGGGGTCATTGCAGGATTCGCGCCCAAAGATTGCGGGACGTTTCACGTGGCGTGCCGATGTGTAAATGCAGCGTCTTTTGTGTTCGGAACAAGTGCTCCGCCCGCTTGTGCTCTGTCACCCCAATTAGAGCTTTGCGTAGCCCGCCTAGCTTTTAACCCGAAGAGGTTCGCTCTCGACCCGCAGATAACAAAAAAAAGTGTTCGGAACAAGTTTGTGAGGATGTCTCGGGCGAGGCGCTGGTTGCAGCACTCCTAAGCGGGAGCCGCCTGGGTGGGGACATCCCAGGGTTCGCGCCCGAATCGTGGGGATGTCTCAGGCGGTTTGCCGGTCTGGTGTGCTCAGCGCACTGTGTTTTCGGAGCAGTTTGCGGGGATGTCTTGGGCGAGGCGCTGCGTAGGCGGCTGGGGGTCGACGCGCCACCCCTGAGCCTGTCCTTCGGTCGGGCCTGTCCCTGGTGCAGGCAGACTTCGGGCGACAAATGCAAAAAAAAATACCCCCCCAAAAAGAACCAAACAATCTCACACAAGTGCTCGAAAAATCGTCCCCAGACTAGTGCTGGACCATTTGGGAGTGAGGTGTGGGGGGGATGTCTCGGGCGGGTTGCCAGCTCGGGGTGCTCAGCGCCATGCGCTCTCGGAGCAGGTTGCGGGGGTGTCTCGGGCGAGGCGCCGGCTCCGGCGCCCCCAAAGAGGGGGAGCCGCCGGGAGGCGTATCGCGGGCCCGCTCGCGCCCAGGTGGCGAGAGTGTATCGGGAGGCCTGCTCGTTTCGGGCCCAGGCCTTCAGCGGAGGAGGTTCGCTCTCGCCCCGCAGACCAGAACATGATTTCGGGCCCAGGCTCATTTGCGTTCCGGGCGACTTGCGAGGATGTGTCCAGTGGGGCGCTGGTTCCAACACCCCAGACGGCCCAGATCGCGGGACGTCTCGGGCGGCGTGCTTGTGTTGGTGCCAAATGCACGTCGCCCAAGTTCACATTCGCATTCAGATCGCTCACACTCAGACCAGTCACAGTCACACTCAGACCATTCAGACCTCCCACACCCACACTCACAGTCATATACGTACTCTCAGATTTCGCACGCTCACACTCACACTCTGACCCTCCGACCATTCACACCCAAGTTCACTCAGACCTTTCACGCTCACACCCACACAGACTACTCACATGCATTCGCCCTCATGCGCATAGACGCATTCACACTCAGACTCACCCACACTCAGACTCTCCTGTTTCCCGATGATCATTCTCTGACCCGTCCATGATTCGACTCACTCGCCCGCAGACGCTCGCAGCGGGAAATGTGTGAGCAAATAGATGCACATATGGGGATACCCACGTCGAATAATGAAAGATCGAGGCCGTCGGGGGCGTGGAAGCGCAATCATGTACGAGGGTTTGTGGCCACGGGATCGTGACCGCGTCAAACATTACAAGGGGATGGGGCCCTAGGAGCACGCATACGTTGTAATTTACGAGGCCGGATGATTCCAAGAGTGCGGACGCTTTGTAATTCAAATTTGGGGACGAAGCCGCCGTTCCCTTTGAATTATCAGCCGAAGGGTCGCGAAACGCGCTTCCCACAAATCATTGCTCTAGGAGGGGGGGCGGCGGCGGCAACGGTGGCGGATAGAGTGACAAGCAGAGGGAGGCTGGTTCTCCGGGAAGATGCTCACATCAGCACCAGTGGCTACCATTGGCTGCGATCTTACCTTTGGGGCGGTGGAGTGCCTGAGAAGTGGCTGCTTCTGCGTTCGACGGGCCGTCACAGCTTACCCACCGCCCACCAAACCACCGCAACCCAGCCCGAAGGCCCCGATTTGCCTTCCATTTCCAGCAGGTTGAAGGGGTTCGGGGAACATTGGAAAAACACTTGTGAAGCCCGTACCCACCCCAGACCCGAAATGTGGGCGAAATTCGAGTCTTCGGGTTGGGTTGGGGTGGTTTGGCAGGCAATCACTTACAACTCCTGCGCCGTTTCGAATTGGCTTCGGTGGCCAGGCACGCGTGCGCGCACGCACGCTGCGATGGCCACATCAGCCCTCGGAGTCGTTGTCCTTTTCCTCCTCGTCCTCCTCCTCCTCCTCCTCCTCCTCCTCCTCCTCCTCCTCCTCCTCCTCCTCCTCGTGCTCCAAACTTTTTCCTTATCAACAACATCTCCTTGTCGCTCGACACCAGGGGTCGCTCGTTCGCCTCGCCGAGACTGCCACACGCCGCCCCTCGACGCGTCTGGCTCACCGCGGGGGAGGGACACCACACCTTTGGCCGCTGCGGGCAGCACCGCGCGCCCCCCGCCCGCGCGAATCGGGTCGGTCTGCGCCCGGGGCCCCTTGGCCGCGATCGGCGCCGCCGCCGCCGCGGCATGAGGACCCGCGCCCGTGAGGAGACATAGTTAGGAGGAGGAGGAGGAGGAGGAGGAGGAGGAGGAGGAGGAGGAGGAGGAGGGAGGAGGGAGGAGGGAGGAGGAGGAGGAGGAGGAGGAGGGAGGAGGGAGGAGGGAGGAGGAGGAGGCGGAGGAGGAGACCCAGAGGCGACGGAAGAGGGCTCGGGATGGGAGGCTGGCCTTGGGCTGAACCTGGGGGGGGGGGGAGAATCGTGACATTGGCCCCCTGTGGGGGACCTCAGGGTGACTCGAGTCTTCAATCCTGGCGTGCTTCTCTCCAGTCTCGGCCTCCGGGGGCCAGCTCTGGGCCCCCGAGGCCATCCGCAGTGGATCTGGGGCGCAGCCCCCCATGATGGGAAGGGCCCACGGGCTGAACAGATCGATCCGTCGGAGGTCCTTTGCTCTCACATCGGGGAGGAGGTATTTTTTGTCCGCAGAGAGAAGAGGGGTCACAGATCTCCGCATCGCTCCGAGGGGGATGGGCCCCGAGATGATTCGCCTTTGAAGTCCACTCGGAGCACAAAGCTGGTCCTGGGGACAGCTCTGGTGTCCTCAAGACCCCTGACAGCGCCGCGCACGATTCGATCTGGCTTGATCCGGCAGAGTCGCCGCGGTGGACGGTTCGATTTGGGAAGCCTCAGCAACGACTCGATGTGGAGGCCAAGCGATTCGACTCCAATCTGGCCCGAGGCGGCGACGATCCAAAAAGTGTCAACTACGAAAGGTCTTGTAATGAGACACAGGTTGTCTATCGTGTCAAGATCTTCCGCAGTTTACGCTGGTCGACCTCCCAGGGAGCCCCTTCGCCGCGGCTGGATTCGCCGCGAGGTTCTGGTCAGAGGTCAGAGCGCGTTCCTGGGCAGGGTTTGGGGCCCAGTCTGAGATGGAGGACCTCGTCCAGGCGCCGCGGAAAATTATTTTGCTTCGAGCGATCCCCACTGAAACCTTCGGCATTTGGTCCCAACGGTGTGCGCGCCTACTGGAAGGATGCGCGCAGTGCCCAGCGGCGTCCCCCGCCCCTTCTTCACCCTCCCGCGGGCGCAGTGCTACTTGACAGGGCCTAGCATACCTGCGAGCCCTCGGCCCAGCACTGCATGAAACAGAGGCCGGGGGGGAGCTGCCATGCAAGGAAACTCGCCGGAATCAAAACAAAAGGGTTCCAGATGTTTGTCTGTCCCGGGGCTCGAGCAGGGCCTCTGGAACCAGAAAACACCAACAGATCCCCCCAAGCCTCGAACACAAAAGAAGGGGGGGAGTCCTCACCCCCTCCGGCCGATCCTGGCGACCCGAACCTCGGAGTTGGGGGCGGCCATGCGTTGGATGGGCTCCCAGAAAATCGGTCAAGAGGGGGGGACAGGAAGTGCTTTCAAAATCTGTCCCTGGACCC